GTCATTTTAATCACAAACTTTCGTCGACCATACCAATTTAGTCAAATCGTAGTCAAAAATTACAGTTGACTAACAATATGTCTAAAATAACTTTCAAAGTTGATGTTTTTTTTGCACAAATAAAAACCAATATTTTTCTACAATATTGGATGTATTTTAAATATTTTTTATAACTGAATCACTAATAAATAAATTATAAATAAAAAGTTCTGATCAAAAATATAAATAGAGCTCAATGTAAAATAATTAGTTAACATGTCATTAATTGAGTATCTTAGTTATAAAATGATAAGCCTATTTTAATTATTTATGATTAAATTTTCTAAATATTTATATAATCCTATTTGAATTATGTTTTATAATTTTATTTTTAAAAGTTTGTTGATGAAATATTAATTTAACTCTTGATTCTTAAATGAAAAGAGTTATCGGCTAATGAATTATTCATAATTCTTTATATTTATAATTAAGATCTTTTCTATAATTTTTTAAAAATAATATTTCTTTAAAAAAAAAATAAGTTTCACCAAAATTGATAACTCTTTTTGTTATCCAATAACTCGTTTTCTTTAAAAATTCAGGAACTGAATTAATATTTCCCTAAAAAAATGTTAACACTAAAATTTATAAAACATAATCCGAGTAAGAATATATAAATATTTTAAAAAAAAAAATAATCGTAAATAATTAGAAAATTCTCATAATCATTTTTGTAATTAAGGATATGTTAATTAATTATTTAATATTGAGTTCTGTTTCTATTTTTTGGTTGGAATTCATTTTTTATTTACAATTTTTTATTAGTGTTATAGTTATTAAAAGGTTCAATATTTAAAATCTAATATTTTGAAAAAATGTTGATTTATATTTGTGCCAAAAAAAAAATTAACTTGAAAAGTCATTTTAGGTCTACCGTTAGTCAACTATAACTATTGACAAACGATATGATTAAATTGGTATGTCACGATAGTTTGTGATTAAAATAGCTTGTCAACAAAAATTGAGTATTTTTTTTGTTTATGAAAAAATTGATGTTTTATTTTAACCAAATTTGAAAGTTGGTGATTTAAATGACAATTTTTTCGATTCAATTTACATTTTTCGGTGGGTATTCGTTCTCTAACATTAACTGGAATTACGCTGTTATTAGTAAACCGGATGTGCTGTCTGTCTCCATATGAACTAGGTGTTCTCCTGCACCATGTGCAGTAAAAAGATTTAAAATATTTTTTTAACAGATATAATATAAATTACGTTTGAAATTAAAATTTTATTAATATTATAAATTTTCCTTTTCTTATCACTATTTTAATACAATTTTTTTTAATTAAACAGAAAAATAATAGAAAAATAATTTTTGTTTATTTTAAATTATATTTATGAATATGCATGTATATATTTAAAATTATAATCTTAGATATATTTTTTATCTATTTATTTTAGTTAAATATATTAAATAAATTTGTAGAAAAATTTATAATTATCAAAAATTAAAATTAGACAATATTTATTAAATTTGTAAATATATAAGAAATTAATAATTTTACGATTAAATTTTAATAATTTTCAAAAAAGGTATACATTTTTGAAAAGTTTGTAATAAAATTGTATAATTTTAAAATATATAATTAAATGATATTTTCGAAATTTATAATGCCATATTTGAATATATTCATTTTAATGATGATTTATGAGTTATTACCATATTTTGAAAATATTCCAAAAATATAAATCGACATCAAATCTAATATATGAGTTGTTACCATATTTTATAAAGCTTTCCAAATTATGTTTAAAATTAAAATTTATTAATATTATAAATTTTCTTTTTCTTATCACTATTTTAATACATTTTTTTTAATTAAACATAAAAATCATAGATAATTATTTTTGGTTTATTTTAAATTAAAAGAATATGCATGTATATATTTAAAATTATAATCTTAGATAGATTTTTTATCTATTTATTTTAATTAAATATATTAAATAAATTTGTAGAAAAATTTATAATTACCAAAAATTAAAATTAGACAATATTTATTAAATTTGTAAATATAGAAGAAATTAATAATTTTACGATTAAATTTTAATAATTTTCAAAAAAGGTATACATTTTTGAAAAGTTTGTAATAAATTGTATAATTTTAAAATATATAATTAAATGATATTTTCGAAATTTATAATGCCATATTTGAATATATTTATTTTAATGATGATTTATGAATTATTACCATATTTTAAAAATATTTCCAAAAATATAAATCGATATCAAATCTAATATTTGAGTTGTTACCATTTTTTATAAAGTTTTTCAAAAATATATATTAACATTAAATGCAATTGTCCATGTCATATTTAATCATATGCCATGTCATCAATTCTAGTAGACATGTCATCATTTTTTTGTGAAACTGATTGTAGAGAAGACATGTGGCAAAATCACTTCGGAAATAATATATAGGGGAAAATTAAAATTAGAGAATATTTATTAAATTTGTAAATATATAAGAAATTAATAATTTTACGATTAAATTTTAATAATTTTCAAAAAAGGTATACATTTTTGAAAAGTTTGTAATAAATTGTATAATTTTAAAATATATAATTAAATGATATTTTCGAAATTTATATGCCATATTTGAATATATTTATTTTAATGATGATTTATGAATTATTACCATATTTTAAAAATATTTCCAAAAATATAAATCGATATCAAATCTAATATATGAGTTGTTACCATATTTTATAAAATTTTCCAAAAATATATATTAACATTAAATGCAATTGTCCATGTCATATTTAATCATATGCCATGTCATCAATTCTAGTAGACATGTCATCATTTTTTTGTGAAACTAATTGTAGAGAAGACATGTGGCAAAATCACTTCGCAAATAATATATAGGGGATGATAACCCAATTTGATAGTTTTTAGGTCCGTGTTGTATATTGAATTGTTTTCTATGGTCCCATGCATATGTCACCAAGGAAGGAGATAGGTCTCAAAGGATCCATCGTACTCTAGATTTTCTAACGTATTGCCAAACAAAACAAAAAAATCACAAAACTACTTTTTCCAATTATTGTTGTAGTTTGAATTTTTTTTTAACCATGAAATATTTGTTTTATGACTAACTAGTAAAATCAACACAATAATAATACAAGTGTGTTTGAAAGAGATGACACCTCAACATTTTAAATCATTCTGAAACTAACATAACAATAAATGAAAAAGTTAAAAAGCCAAAAAAAATATTTCGATGCTCAACATCGTTCATACACGTCATTCACATGGTTTTCGTTTTTAACATTTTCTTCTTTCTTTTTTTAATTTTACCAGAAACAACGATGTCTAAAGATGAAGCATCAGAGTAAGTATGGGCCTCGGCGGTGATTCCGACGATCGATCCCACCGTGATTCGTAGCTTTAGCCCTAGCTCACCTTTTACTTTGACTGTCTCTTCGTCAGATTTTTGTAGCGCCTTCGTGCTAATACCGAGATGAGAAAATTTGAGCCGGAGGGAATTGATCTAGGTTATGTATCCTAGAGACTCTTCTATTGTTTTCCATTCCCTTTCTTATGCAAAACATGCACATTTTAATTCTAAAGAAGGAGAAAAAAAACCCATCAAATAAAACGAAAATAGGACTGAGCATAGTGTGATAGACTACGAACTATATGGAGGCTATCATGAAAAAGATCAAGAAGAGGTCAATTCAGATTTGTAAAGTTTAAATTTTTTGGTTTAAAGTTTAAATTGCTTTATTGTAACATAGTTTATGAACTCCATGAGGGTAAAGGTGCATAGGTCCATAGAACTCCAAAGAACTATGATGTGGGTTGAATTATGACAATGTTTGAAATGACATAAAATATCCAATTAAACGTGAATTTGTTTCAAAACCTTCTTAACAGATAAATAAATTTTTATTTTGTAATTTTCGTAGTTATAAACTTATAAAGTTATAATGGATTTGACTCGAAAAACCTTTTTTTTTGTTACAAACTCAAGATGAATATTTTTATTTTGGTTGATTTTACTATATTACAAATAAAATATATTTATTCTTTATTAAATAGTTTCATTTAAATGGTTATTTTCAGAAATTTTATAACTGTGTAATTTCAATATATAAAATAGTTATACCATATCACACAAATCAATTTTAATCTGTTTTTTCAAACAAGAAATTAGATTTTATAAAAATACGAAAAAGTCTGTGGCGTTGCGCGGGGACAAAACTAATGTATATCAAAAGAGTATATGTATGTTCTTGGACCCTTCTTTGTGAAAAATTATTTCTTTCCCTTAAAATACAGATTAAGTATAAATGGTAATTGTGAATTCACAGACTAATAATGTCTAACGACTATGCGCTACAAATTTACTCGAATAGAAACGAAAATTGACGGCTAAGTTTTAGTTTCATGGCAATAAATTAACCTTAGATACCACTCACCTACAATATATATCACTTTGCACGACGAGATGTTCATTTTACTGTCTATTGTATGTAAACCCTATTCTACACAACAAATTCAAACACGTTCAAAATGATTACCATTTCATTCACGGCAAAATAGGTCTTTTATCATCATGAAACACACATGATTTACACAAGCATATATCTCTATGTCTGGAACAAATGAAACATGCAATGAACTTATTATTTAGTGGTATTTTATGTGTTGATCTCTAAATAAAAAGAAGACGCACAACAAAGATGAAATAAAGATATTTTTTTACCAATCTCCACAATATGTTATCAAGATCTGGTTGCCTTTTTACCAAAAAGAAGATCTGGTTGCCATAAACAACAACCAAACAAACTATAAAGACCAGTATTCCACAATATAATTCAGAAAGACCAATTGTAGCGCGATTCTAGCGAAGACTAAACGACTCATCAAATTTCCAATTCATAACGTTGCAACCACGACAAATTAAAGAATACAAAAGAAACACAAACGTGTTTGATTCAGTCTTTGTTCCTGTAAAATAATAGTACAATTTCACTTTTTCAAACATTTTTTTCTTTTACAAAAAAAGAAGCAATAATCATTACGTGAAAACCATCAACCCGACATTGACTCACTCACCAGGTGATTTGGGCACAAACCTCATCGTGACATAGTCATAGAATTGAAATTTGAAAACAATAATTCGAGTCTTTCACTATCGCGAAGACGGTCATCAACGTGACATCCACGTAAATACTATGCTCCGACCCACTTTTTTTTTTTATTATTCCAAATCTCCTACACTCCACGCGCCGCTCCCTTCACGCATAGACGAAGAGCTCTCCCAGCCAGAAGATGCTGCTGGCTCGTCCGTCTCCCTCCACGTCGCCATCTTCTCCGACACACGCCACACTTTAACCGATTTGTCCAAACTTCCGCTGTAGATAATCCACTTCTTGTCACCTTCATTGACCATACATGCTTTTGCTTCTTTACCGCGGCAAGCTCCTTCCTCTTCCACGGCTAGACACTTGACTGGTCCCATGTGTCCCGACAAAACAGTCAAACAGTTATGAGATCCATCAGACGGCTCCCTCCTCCACACACATATGTTCTTGTCGGCTGAACCACTCAATAACAAGTTCCCCGCTACAGTTAGACATAACACGGCGGACTTATGCCCTTTGAGTTCTCCACCGATGAATACACGCGTGGAACGATCCCAATAGTTCACCACCCCGTCCGAGGAACCGGAATATACCATTTTAGACTTCGGTATAACAGCCAATGCCGTGACGGCGTGTTCTTGTTTGAGCAAAACTTGAGCCAAAATGTGCCTTGTTCCTTTGACTTGCATCTCACGTTTCCACACTTTAACCGTACCATCCGCAGATCCCGTGAACACCAAGTCATCAAAACCTGACATCACCGAGTTTATCGCGTCATCGTGCGCTTGTATAGATTCCAAACATTTTGAATCCGACACTCTCCACACTTTGATCGTCCTATCCCAAGAACTTGAATACAACAAACCAAGCTCCACGTCCATGCTAAGACTCGACACGGCGTCCTTATGCTTAGTTTTCACGGAGTTTTTATTGCGATAATGCTTAGGGTTTACCGAGCTCTTAACCATGGATTTAAGCGTTGGCAATGTTCCAACCCGTTTGTACTTTCCTTCCTTTTTCTTCGAAACCTTCCAGACCCGGATCTTACCGTCCTGATGGCCGGTAAAGATCCGGTCTCCGGATATCACAATAGCCTTAATGAGACCACTACTTGCTTTAAACCCGGTGTAGTCCTTCAAATTCTTCCAAACCCTAATATTCTTGGAGTCCGAGCCCGTGTAGAGAAGGTCACCAGAAGCGGCTAGCGAGTATATATGCCCTTCTTCACGTACAATAGAGCCAATGAGACCATTTGTCTCGAGGCCATTGTCTTCATTAAAATCTGAAGGCCAAGGGGTAGACATACGGGCCCAAGGAGACATTACGCAAGGTGAACCTTCTCCGCTGGCTGGACCACTGCCCATGGTCGAGGCTGAGACGTTGCTAAACCGGGGGTGGGTTAAGTTGGTGTTGATGATGATGGGATCTCCAGGAGGGAATATTCCGTCGTGGTCAGCTTTCAATATATCACCAAACTTAGATCTCGGTTTGTGACCATTATCGGTATTGTCGTGGTGGTGGTGATTGTTGTTGTATGAATCGGTTTGGAGATCGACCACCATGGTACCACCCGTTTCGTTCCTCATCTCTTTCTTGAAATATTTGTCACAAGTCAAATTCTTGATTTTAAAACAAGAAAGTTATAGAATAATGAAAAACTCTTCTTACTGTTATTTTTTTTGTTTAGGGAGTTTTTTTTTGTTGGAGTTGTGATAGCTATGAATAAGAAAGATGAGGATGTGTTTGGAGATTTTGGCTGGCAAGGAGGAATAGAGATTTATATGGAGATTTTGACGGGGAATTGGATGGTCTAGAGCCTGTTTTGACTTTTTTAGGATTTTTTTTTTGTGTTTTGTCAACGACTCTAGGAATTGTTTATGAATTTGCGAAAATAAATATTACTAATGCACACTTATATACACGTACAAAATATCAAGATTCAAGACTGGTGATCATTATGGGATATGTGGCGAGGTGCTTCACACGTGGTTGTTACTAGAGGAACCTTCTATGATTTTTCGAAAGTATATTTAAATACTAAGCTTACAAAAAAAAAAAGATAATTGGCTAAAGTACCTTATTTGGTACCTATAATTAGAGATTTGCCCGTGACAATCACTTTCCTTTGGATCATTTTGCCATTCTCTACACTCTCTCTCCTCTCTTTGACATTTCCCCCCTTTTTTTTCTCTTCAATCCCTAATTATTTTACAAATCTCTATCATTCTATATACAATTAAATTTTAAATTTCATTATTTTTTCATAAGTGGCTTTGAATCCTCCATTTTTTGACCTTTTTTTCTCTCTAATCCCTAATTATTTTACAAATCTCTATCATTCTATATATAATTAAATTTTAAATTCATAAGTGGCTTTGAATCCTCAATTTTTTGATGATATCAATTTTCTGGGTTTTAGATTCGACGTCGTGTTAGCGGTTAACAAATATTGTAGACGAAAATAGAAGTGTTAGTTGTTAACAATTATTTTTACGCTTCGCGTTAATAAATGTGTTCGCTGTTAACAAATATTATAGACGTTAACAGAAGTGTTAACTGTTAACAATTATTTTTACGCTTCGCGGTAATAAATGTGTTGGCTGTTAACAAATATTGTAGACGTTAACAAAAGTGTTATATGTTAACAAATGTTTTTACGCTTCGTGTTAATGAGAGGAAAGAGAAAGGGCATTCTCGGCATTTCCTTACCAAATGGTTGTGTCAGTGTCCTTCATGTCCAGTCAATGGTATTTTGCTAATTTAAGCTTCAAATATGGGTAATTCACTAAATCACTCAAAAAAAATACTAAGCTTATAGATCTATCATTTGTTTTTGTACAAGAAAAGGAGAGAACGTGTTACTTTACAATTTTGCTATATTTTAAAATAATAATACAAATCGTTGAGTTGTTTTTTAAGAGGATATCTAAATGTTATCTCGAATTAGAACATTCTTTGTAGAATGCATTCGAGGTTTTAGATACATTGGAATATTAGGCACGCAAGCCGAAAGATACTTAAATCTCCTCCATAGTTCATTTCACATATAGACTTACTACCTAAATACCTTCTTAAAGATATTAAACGAATGTACCATGTTGTTAAGCATTTGTTGTCATTGTCCCACAAGGTCACAACAGTTGATATATCCATTTAATTCGTCTAAACATATATTTATATCGAAGGACTATACACCACTTGACAAGATTAGGCAAATAATTTTAGGCATGTTTCCACTATTGGTAATGTTATCGGAGAATTCTAATTTTGCCTAGCTCCTATTTGATAATAGTTTTCAAATTTACTTTTACATGATTATTATTTTCATAAATATTTCAAGTTTATTATGAAAAATATACAATTAATATATCTAAATCATTTATAAATGTTTAAAACTTAGTTATAGAAGTTTCTAAATCCAACTCCACCCTTTAAATACTATTTTTTGTTTATTTCCATTCAATTGGCTTTTATATAGAAACTCATTATTAGAATGTCATTAGTGGATGGTATCTTCCCAAAAAACTTTTGTCATTACTAAATTAGTTATTTAGAGTAATTTTACTAGATTTTTACCCGCGTTTACGAAGCGCGGGTTTTATTTTGGTTATAACAAAATGTATCAAATGATTCTATTTTTATTATATGATAGTTTTATATGTGAAATTTGATGTATATTTAACGTTTTAGTAGGATCTTTTCATTGAGTTTTGTATAACCGAGTCAGTTTTTGGTTGAACAGAGAATAAAAAAAAAATGTATTGTGAGAGTATGAAAATTTAAAACACATATTACATTTTGACCCGCGCTTGAGTTAAATAGTTTATTAAAATAATTACATTTCTGATTTTTGAACAATAAAAGTAATATTCAATTTTGACATGCGCTTCTTATATAGTTTATTTATGTTAGTTAAAATAATTACATCTATAATTTCTGAATAGTAAAAATAATATTCAATTTTGACCCGCGCATCATATATAGTTTATTTATGTTAGTTAAAATAATTACATCTATGATTTTTGAACAATAAAAATAATATTCAATTTTGACCCGCGCTTAAGCAGGGCGGGTATTTTTTTGTTGACCATAAAATAAAATATTAAATTCATTTATGAGAGTCAAAGGTAACTCAAAAATAATTTTTAATGAGAGTCAAAGATAACTCCAAGTATATAAGGAAGAATTTAAATATTGCAAGATTCTGGAGTAACAAACTCATTTGTTACTACAAGTATCTCATTTTCTGTTTTAATATGCAGCAAATATAATATAAATCGATTTTCGTTTATTACATCATAGTATATTAATCTGTTATACAACACTATGTATTTTTCATATAAATAAATCAGTCAATAAATCGTCAAGAAAAAAAAAATTATTTAAAATGAAAATTATTGGGTGAAAACAAAACGCGATTTTGATTCAATCAGGATTAACGTTCGAGAATCATCATAACGCGATTGTCAAAACATAACTAAAAACATTATTTCTAAACAAACATAATCCTAAAACGGATCGATGGAGAATCATCATTACCTCTGCGATTTTGATTCAGCCAGGGTTAACGCTCGAGAATCATCATTACCTCTGCGATTATAAATAAGTTTTATAATTTAGTCTATAATATTATAAAGTGAAAACATTTTTGTTGAAGAAGATAAATACCGTTGTTTAAATTCATCTGTCTCTGGTATTTCAGGATTAACAAACATCTGTCTCGAGGAATGTATGTCTTGTTACACGAGGCATGGATCTTACTTCCCTATATAAACATAAAACATTATCATTTAGTTAAAATTTAACGAAATGAAGATATCTAAATCAAAAATCTATACAAAACGATAAATTCACATTTGCATCACAAAGGATTAGTTCCATGGACTCCCTTAGTATTTCATGAAATGTTTTCACGTATGAAGGATTTTGAATTGGATGCGACAGCAGTCTTCCTCGGTTTTATATCGCTCAAGAAAGACAACTGCAAATTATTCGCCATTTTTGTTTTAGGTTTTCGAAGAGATGATAAATATAATGGTTAAGAGAGACTATATTTATAATATATAGGGACGATATACAATTAGGTTACGTGAATGTAGGGGAGAATATTTCATACGATTTTTTAAAATATCTCTTTTGAGGAATAAGAAATATTTCTTGAAGATTTTGAATTAGTTAGGAATTTTAAAGTTTAACAGTTAATGGTAATCCAACTACGGTGAGTTACCGAATTTTATGGAATCTACGTTATTGATTGTGGTTAATCTATAACTTGTAGGTAAAACAATTACTTTATTTTAGTAGGAAGATAATTATAGAAAACCGTATTTACAATATTTTCTTAACAAAACGTATCTCGTCCATTAAATGTCAACATGAGAGTGATGATATATCTTTTTTGGTTGATATCACTATATGTAGTCTAACTATGGTATATAAATATATGTAAATTTAGTGAGACATGAAAACATATTTCATATATGAAGAAAAACATGAAAGGAAGGTCTATAACACAATATAAATGAAATGAAAGTTTATAAAGTCCATGTATGATGCATATACCAAAAAATGTCAACCAAAAAAATATAATGTTGGAAATCTATAGATTGAAATCGTGTAATATAAGGTCTATAACACAATATAAATGAAATGAAGCTTTATATAGTCCATGTATGATGCATATACCAAAAAATGTCAACCAAAAAAGTATAGTGTTGGAAAAATATAGATTGAAATCATGTAATATAAGGTCTATAACACAATATAATTGTATGAAATATAGTATGATATATAAATACGGGTAAATTTAGTGAGACATGAAAACATATTTCATATATGAAGATAAATCATGAAATGAAGATCTATAACACAATATAAATGAAATAAAGGTTTATAAAGTCCATATATGATGCATATACCAAAAAATATCAACCAAAAAAGTATAATGTTGAAAATATATAGATTGAAATCATGTAATAAAAGGTGTATAACACAATATAAATGTATGAAATATAGTTTGGAATATGGTTATAAAGTCTATATATGATTTATAGACAAAAAAAGTTAGCCATAAAAGTATAATGCCGAAAATCTATAGATTGAAATCATGTAATATAAGGTGTATAATATAATATAAATGTATGAAATATAGTATGAAATGTGGTTATAAAGCCCATATATGATGCTATACCAAATCGTGTAATATAATGTTGGAAATCAATAAATGTATGAAATATGGTTAGAGTAATTAATGGAAAGAGAGAAAAATAATGGATGGAAAAAGAGAGAATAATTAATGGTTAGAGTAATTAATGGAAAGAGAGAGAATAATTCAGGTATATTAAATATGTGATATGATTTGTAACAAATTGATATATATATATATATATATATGTAAGACAAAAATAAATTACCAAAATACCATTAATGAAGGGTGCACACAACTTACATCAATCGATTTTTCAAGGGTGTCTTCACTTTTAATAGTATAGATTTTGTTATTTATTTTCTTTTTAAAACAAAATTGAACTAGTAATAAAATGACACATAGATCAGAAATCTCTCAATGGTCAGTACTAATCTCTCTGCCAAAAATCAGTTCCGTTCTATCATATCTTTCTTATTTTTTCTTTTTTTATTATTAAATTTGGTGAGATGTTCTTGCTTTTTTTAACCAATGCAGTACGTTTTTGCTATAAAATTGTATCTTATCGCATTCTTATCATAAAAGGTATCAAATGGAGTTC